CTCTCTCTCTCTCTCTTGCTTTCCATTTGATCCCTTACTATTTTACAGCCCTTTCCCTCCCTTATATACACGTTCCTTAGTGCTGACTCATCCCATCATGATGACCCCATGGTTGATGACTCACCTCTCCTATTTGCTTAGATGGCACAGGTGGCTTAATTCTACCTCTCCAGGACAATTGCCAAATCTTCTCTCATTAATGGTTGATTTGCTTAATCCCAAAAAAATCTCCTACATCATATATTTGATAAAGGCAAATTGATTTACATATACTTTTTATTTTTTATTTTTTATTATTTTGCCTTAATTTTACATTGACTCTAATTAATAAATTAAATTATACTTTATAACATACCATCATAATATTAATTATTTTGTTTTACTATTACATAATATTATTATTATTCTTATTCCATATATTTATTTTATTATTATTGTTGTTATTATTTATTTATTTATTAAATAATATATTATAACATACAACCATAATTATATATAACTATAAATATTTATGTAGTATTTTATTAAACATTCAGGTTGTCACATTTCTCCCCTCCTAATAGAAATTTTTCTCCAAACTTGACGTACCTTAATTTTCGAAGAGGTGTGGGTATTTAGCTCTCATTTGACTTTCTGTTTCCCACGTAGCTTCTTCAATATGATGATTTCGCCGTAAGACTTTTACCAACGGTATGGTTTTGTTTCGAAGAACTTGATCACGACGATTGAGAATTTGCACTGGTTGCTCTTCGTAAGAGAGGTCCTTTTGGACTTCCAAGTTCTCATAGTCGACAACATGTTCTGGATCTCGGAGGTACCGTCAGAGCACCGAAACGTGAAACACGTTCTAAACGTTGGACAGTTCAGGCGGTAGTGCAAGGCGATATGCTACAGGACCAATCCTTTCTAGTATCTCGAATGACCCGATGTAACATGGGTTTAACTTTCCTCGCTTTCCAAATCGGATAACTCCTCTTGATTATGAGATCTTAAGGAACACATGATCTCCTATTTGAAATTCCAAGTCCTGCCTTCGTATATCTGCATAGCTTTTTTGGCGACTCTGAGCATTGCGAATTCGCTGTTGGATGAGTTAGATTTTCTCACTTGTGACTTGCACGATCTCGGGGCCTACCAGTTTCCTGTCCTGGACTTCCTTCCAGCATAGAGGTGATCGACATCGCCTTCCATACAGAGCTTTGTACGGTGCCATTCCAATGTTTGCTAGTGGCTGTTGTTATAGGCGAATTCCACTAAGGATAGGTGCTCATCCTAGTTACCTTTGAGGTCCAACACGCATACACGTAACATGTCTTCCAACGTCTGGATTGTTCTTTTGGATTGCCCATCAGTTTGTGGGTGATAAACCGTGCTAAACTTCAGCGAGGTTCCTAAAGCTTCTTGCAATTTGTTCCAGAAATGAGACACGAAGCGGGGATCTCGGTCACGATTGAAACTGGGGTGCCATGCAAACGAATAATTTCTTTGATGTATAAGGTGGCAAACTTATTAAGGGAGTACATGATTTTAATTGGCAAAAAATGCGCTGACTTCGTCAATTAGTCTACTATAACCCATATTGCATCATTTTTCGAAAATGACTGTGGTAGCCCGACCACGAAGTCCCTAGTAATGTGCTCCCATTTCCACTCAAGAATGGGGAGTGATTGCAATAGAGCCGAGGCAACTTTGGTGATGACAGACGCGTGGCCTTAGGCAACGAGTCAGCGTTTCCTAAATTTCCTAAAATGAAATATTTAGGTGGCGACTCTGTATCTGGCAAAGCAATCCATGTTTGGCACTTCTTTCTAAAAATCTGTTTTCCAAAACGATTTGCCGAATTCAGACTCTTTGGTGATTTATCAGTCTTGCATTGCACTTTGTAAGATTAGATTAAGAACCATGGAAATTTGAGTCCGAACTGTAGTGAGCCCAAATGAACAAAACGGGGGATTCCCCCCGGGACGTTCGGGGACGTCTACAGGTATCAATTAACAGCTTTAATTTTCTCAGGGTTGTGAACATTGCCTGGTGATGTTTTCGTGAAGCCATGAGCAACCCCTAGATAGAGATATTAGCTTGGATCTTTTTTAGTTATTTTAGGTCCAGATCCTCATCTTTAACCCCCAGTAACTGTCTCTCTTTTCCTTTGCCCTTTCCTAGCTAAATGGTCTATTTCTTCTGAGTACCATGTATCATCGGGGGCATTGTTCCCCCCCATTTGTCGATATGAGCAAGATGGAGATTATTATCATCCCACCGTTTGATTTCATTGATCGATAGACAGTTATTCAGTTCAGCATGAATCAATCCAACACTATGGTTATCACCTTATGGCTCATAAGGTGATGCTGGTCGAATTTCGGAGGAAACCTCCATTCTTTTAATTTTCTTCCATGCTTGGCTTGCTCTTTGAAATCCCCCCCTCTCCTGTTGGTGTTATTGTTCTATCACTTTTTCCCTTTCGATCTTTCTATCCTTAGATTCCTCCTTCTTACTACTCTCTTCGATTTTACTACTCTTGCCTATTTTCATCTTTCCCTTGGCTTTCCGAACCTTTTCTTGTATCTCTTCATCATCTTTCTCTGTTTTGGACTCTTCTTCACTGCTTGTCCATCATTGCTGGTCTTTAAATTGTTTGTTCCCACCATTCAATCTGTATATTCCCTAGATTGTGTTTTTCAAAGAAATAGAGATTATTCAAGTCCTCTTATAGGTCTGCCAGGTTGTCCGAGCCTTGTTCAAGTCTGTCTTCCCTAACAACTTTGACAGTGAAAGAGTCGGGAAAAAACATTTTGGCTTTGGTTGACCAACAAGCACAATGTATTTACTCAAATCATACCCCTCTTCTGACAATCTCCCTTTCTCTATTATGAGAATGTTAGACTCCTCTAATTTTAACTTTTCTTTCTCCATGACCACTTCCTCTATTTTCTTCACCACTATTTCTCCTTCCTCGGAAGGTAACACCACTGCCACCATAAGACTCTTGGGTAGTCATTGGAGGTTCGGGTGTATCCATCATGTACAAATTAGTGCCTTCTAGAATAATCACCTCGTGGTTTAGATAGATGAAATGGTGTGATGTATACTAGGGTTGAAAGTGGTTGGCAGTGTATGGATTAAGTTGAGGCGGGAAGGTGGCGATACTTGATCAGGGGCTAGCAGCAAGTTAGTGGTAATATTGGGCCTTTGAGGTGGAGCTATGATTTTGTGATCAATGGGATCTTGGATTTCATGACGGAGGCAGATGCAGCAATTAGTCTTGTGATGGCGCTTTTGATAAAAGGCACAATACATGGCTGACTCATGTCTGGGTAGAAGATGATCAGGAAGGAGTCATGAGTCAAGGAGCTTAAGATTCCCTTTCTCTAGCAGACCCTTCATGGCTCAAGATGGGGCCATGTTGAGAGGGCAAAAACTTCAGGTTTGAGGTCGGGTTAAACTAGGTGCTTATGGAATGGTGTTAGCAAATGGGTTGATTGTTTTCGTTGCAGTGGTAATAGTGTTGACTTATGGGACGTTCGCAACTGTCCTACCACTAGTGGTAGCATTGGAACTACGAACAAAGGTCTTTTTGACGAGCTCTTTCTTAATTAGAGCTCCCATTTTGTGTAACTTTTTGAAGCTGAAGAGTGGAAGGACTATCATCTTTTGCAATATCTTCCCATGCAAATTTCTCATTACCATGCGGATTTGGTCCTTCTCAAAGGAGCTATTTCTCTTCATCGCCAACTTGGCTCTCCATCTGGTTATGAATTCTATAAAACTTTCTTTAGTCTCCTAGCATATAGCCTCTAACTACTGGGTACTTACCTCGATATGAGTGTTGCAAGACTACTAAGCGATAAATGCCTTGGCTAACTCCTCCTGACTTTGTTTTACTGAAGCCTCCAGCTTAACATACCAAGTGGCAACTGCACCTAACATAGTTCTTCTAAATAGAGGCATCTTCTAGGCATGAGTCAATCCCATGGGTTTTAATATATCTAAGAAGAGAAGGATATGAATCATGGGGTCCCCATATCCATTAAAGCTGTCTATGTATGGCATCTTAAATCTCTTTAGCAATCTCAAAGCAGTTTCTGTATATCTGTCCTCAATGTCCGAAAAGGAATTGATCCCTTGTGACTTCTTGATTAGTTTCTCCAGTTTGGCTATTTTTAGCACAACCGGGTCAAACTCAGTAAGGTCAATGGCGAAAAAGTCCCCCAATGGGCTGTGTCGTAGCTTTAGCAATATGAGTGTCACCTGACCCTTCTTGTAGATTGAGACCCTGGAAGTCTCAGTACTAGAAAAATGACTTTTTGCTACCATATAATCCGCAACCACTCAATTATCTGTCGCAAATAACCAATTTATTCCCTATTTTCTTTTATTTATTTTCTTTTAATCCTTATATTGGCCCTAGTCCCTTCACAAACACTGATCGTTCTCTCTCTCTCTCTCTCTCTCACACATCACAATATGAATCTCTCTAGCCTCTTAGTCTTGTTCTCTGTCTCTCTCTCTCTCTATCCTCTCGATATCACTCTTTCTCTCTCCATCTCTGAATCTCAGTCTTGTGTTCTATCTCCTTGATGTTCTTCTTGAATCAACACCTCAGCTATGCTAATATCCTTCATCCTTCTCAAGTAAACAGACATGTATATGTACCTCTATATATTATGTATATGTGAATCTCAATGTTTGAAATTGAATTTATTCTATTGAGGTCTGAGCAAGAATGGGTGTAACCATCCTCAACTTCTTCAAGATCTTGAACTATTCAACTTTGGCAATCTCGCATCTCTTCGGTTTGCAATTTTGCTTCACATCTTTACTCTCGAAATGCGTATGTGTGTGTGTGTGTGTTAAGCATTGAGCCACCGTTGATTTTTAGTAGATGAATTTGGGGATTTTTCAGTGTATTACAAATCGATAGAACATAAAGTAATAGCAGAGTGTGTTCGGGTTTGTTGATTAATGTTTCATGGAATTTTCTCTCTCACTCGTTTTACATGAGGTATTTGATGAGAGTTAACATTGCTCAATCCTTCATCAGAGGTAATAATAGGATCATCATCATATCTTTTTCTCATTTGCCTTCTTAATCTTATCTTTTTTAAAATTTCCACACTCACTGATACAGATACAAACATAGACACAAACAAAGACTCCCTTTGCTTCTCCTAAAAATGTGAATTTGTAATTTTTTACTCAGTCCACTTTGTAATTTTCATTTAATTTTATGTTTATTTAGTTCATTAATGCCTGTATCCTTCAATTTAATTTTGGCCATTCCATTTTTGTTCTTTTCTTCAATTTAGTACGAATTTGGCCTCTATGTATGTTTGGTTATCATGAATTGTTTATTGTTTCTATTATCTAATTAGGATCTTTTATTTGTGTTTTGAACATATTTAAGGTTCTATTTTTAGTGTGATTTGATTGGTAGAGAAGAATGAGATCTCTTATACACTTGATCATGTTGGGGCTCATAGGATGTTTATCATGCTCTTTTTCATGTTACAGATTATTTTTGGATAACTTTTAATTTTTTTTATATTAGTTATATATGAGCAAATAATGATTATATCATATGTTTGTGGCAGTGCTCTAGTTTTTTTTTTTTTTTTTTTTTCCCGAAGAGGTTGTTATATAATTGTAACAACCCCCATCCGTAATTAGTTACTAAACTGTGATTAAGGACGTTAATCAAGTGATTAAAAAGAATTATATGTTAATTGTGTAATTTCGCACGCTATTTGATTTTGTATCTGTTCTGAATTTTGTATTAATCTGAAAATAGAAAGCTTTACCGGTGTCTGAAACCTGAATTGATTACATGGATGTGTCATTTGGAATTTATAAAATCATTTGGCAGTTTTTATTAAAAATTGATTCAGTTCAGTAAAAATCGCATGTGATTAAATTGAGCCTTGATGGGAACTATTTTGGATTAATTGAATCTTGAGCTAACCTGGATAAATTAAGGTTACTTGTGTTTGATTTAAATGATGCATGATTGGTACCTAATCTAATCTTGTTAATGATCCAAGATGTGATTAAGAGTATGGTGTGCTAAGGTCTTGGTGATGTTGAGTGTAGGGGATCACAACCTTTGTGTGTGTTGGAGCCTTGCATGCATAACCACGTGGGCTTTTTTGAGGAGAAGTGAGGTGTGTGTACGTGTGTTTTCAACTTGAGTGAGGGAGTGTGGCATTATTACATTTTACTTATTTGATTCTTTATGCTGAGGGAATTCAAGCTAGAGAGGGAGAGAGAGAGAGTTGGCCTCAGAGAGAGTGAGAAAGCTCAAGGTTTGAAAGAGCGGAAGGAGGCTAAGAAGATTCATCTCTCATTTCTGAAAATCAAAGCTCTAGGTAAGAGTCTTGAGCATATTTTTTGCAGCTAACTTCCATGCATCATGATTTCAACTCATTTTTGAGCCAATTTCATAAAATTAGCAAGAGAAATGGGTCTTTGAGGTTGTAGATGACTTGAAGGATATGGCAAGGGCAACCCAAAACAGTCCTAGTACATGTTGATATGAGACTAAAACATGCAAGGAAGTAAGCCAAAGCAAGCTAGCATACAATGCTAAAACAAAGGACATGCAAGGCTACAAAAGAGGCAATGCACTACACCTATGAGAACCAATCATGGCATGACTTGGACAACCAAAAACAGAGTTACATCATGGTATATTAGGACCCAAAATGTACTGAAATGATGAGCCAAAGACTTAGGCTAAGTGGCATGCGCAAAAGTCCATTCTTGAGGCATAAAGCACAAGCTATACAAAGCATTCAAGGCATGTCAAATGCGAGTGAACAACAATATTTCATGGACTGAAATAGTATGTGGAATGAGGGCAAGGCATGCAAACATCACATGCATGGCATGATAGACTAATAGCTCGAGCGGGGACCTCATTTTCAGAAAATTTACCAAGTGTTTCAATTCATGTTTGGGCATCCTTATTGCATCTTAGGTATTCCTAAGCCTTAATTAAGCCATAGTGATGGGGTTTTGGAATAGAAACATACTAAGAAAAGAATGTACTAAGTTAAGAGATTGCAAAAGTGTGTTTGGAGCACTGTGTTAAGCAAGAAACCTATGTGATGAGAAGTTAAGCCGTGTTGGCCAAGTACAAGTGTAATGATAGATATCGTTGTGTTATGTACTTTGTGGTTGTAGGTCGAGACTCGAAAACTGATTGACCGATTACGGGAACCACTGTGAATAACGTTATTGTAAAGATACGTTCATATGAATTATGTTCCAAATGAAATATGATAAGTTACAATTTCTGAAATGATATCTGTTTTCGTGAACGAATGTTCCATGTTTGAAATTTATTATGGCATCCATAGATAGTTCCAAGCCATGGGGGACGGCATGTTAATGCGGGTCCATGACATACTTGTGATTACGAGATCTCGTTAACCACTTCATTGTGGTGATATGTGTTTAATCAGTAGCCGGAACCGATTACTCTAGTCGGAAGACGATATGTGATGTGCTCTATGGGATGTACCATTATTATGTTCAAATATGAGAATGATTATGTTACGATCTGTTTTATACTTATGACATGTTCGGAATTCGTTCACTAACTCCTTTACCTTAATGTTATTCGCTGGGGCTTTAGCTCACTGTGTGTATATATATGTGGGTGGGCATTTTGGAGACTGAGCCTAAGGGCTTTTGTTTGGATCTGTGTTCTGTTGTTAGCCAACCATTGCACCTCACGTGGAGGTTCCAAACGTGTCGCATGTTATGAGTTCTAGATACTTATGTACATCAGACTTTGATGTCTTTGTTGGCTGTACTTAACTATGTGTGTGGGTATAATGCAAGACTGACTTTTGGTTATGTATATAAAGTTTTAAATATTATGTTTCATGTAAGTTTACACAGCTCATTAAACAACTATATTTATGTATTTGCTTCCACTAGTCCCTTAATTTTGTTAATCTGTTCAGAGGCCTTCGGTGATCCAAGGATTACTGGCCGGTTATGATGCTAAACCTATAGGGGCGGGTTTGGGTCGTGACAATAACAAATATTGGCTTTTATGCGCTTGTGAATGATAACAAGTAATTGACCTACAAAGTCGATTGCTTAATGTAGTGATGTTTGGCACTCCTAGGAGTGTTTATGGGCCCAAATATGCTTAATACATGGTATTTTTTTTTTTATTTTTTTAAATTTGTTAAGTTCACGCTTGTGCACAATGGGAGCAACTCACATTCTTTTGAATGGGAAATAATATATCCTATAAAACATATAAAAAAATTAACCTCAAACCTTGACTTTGTTTCAAGTGTTTTAAATCACCCATAAAACTACTAATGTCTATATAAAGTCTAATGAGACTTTCATATGCAGAAAATGCCTTTCTTCTAGGGCAGAACTTTTGTCATGTTTGAACAATTGAATATGGCACCTATGTATAATGACATCCTATTCCTCCTAATAAGATTTCATTTCTGATTCTACATTCTGTTGTCCTAATAGGGCTAATAGTTATGACAATTCTATCATCGAAATGAAATTTGTTTAGTCGTCGATTCTCCATGTAAATGTATCAATTTGTACTAAATTTAATTGGTGGACATCTTATTTGACCATAAAGTGAGACTATTATAGTGGATGTTATTGGAATTTTGTTGGCCACATATTATTTTTATGTATTTCGTCAAACAATTGGAAATTAGTGCTGTAACACCTTTATCATCGTTTTATACCAACATTGTCCAACTTGTTACTTCATTTCACTTCTTGAATGCTATTAAGTTTCACCAAGTTTTGTGCTTATTTTGATTCTTTGTTTTTTCTCTTCTCTTTTTTACTAGAAAGGGAATGAAATGATGAAAGCCTGTGGTATTCTTTTCAAATGGGTTTATCTATTTCTTTCATATACTTTGTTAGAAACACTTTTTGGGGTTGTTTGACTTTTGTCTCTTGAAGTTCTCAAGGAACATTGCTATAGTCTATGGAGGAGGTAGGGTAGGCCTATTAACGATGGTTGGCGTGTTAATTTTTCCATATATGTTGATTGCAGTGCCACAACAACACCAATTTCCAGAATTTCTATTGCACCAATTTTTGTTGCTTTCTATTGCTTTCAATTTAGGCCTCATTTGGGGAGTGACTATTTTAGCCAAAAAACCAACTAAAACTTGTCACATCACCTCTCCACTTTTCTGCACATCTTTTCGTAAAAAGTCAAAAAAGTTACTAAAATAGCCTGTTCCCAAATGAGGCCTTAGTGCAAATTTATCTTCAAGATTTTTGTGAGGTTTGCCCAAAAAAGTTGCCAAACTATGAAGAGAAAATCAAAAACTTCTTTGAAGAACATCTTCATACTAATGAAGAGATCTACTATTGTGTGGTAGGAAACAGTAATTTTACTTGAGATTTGAATTGATTTTGTAATTTTTGTCTACCAAGTTGGGCATTTTAATTTTTTACATTGTGGTGAAGGTTATTTTGATGTGAGGGACTGTAACGATGTTTGGATCCGTGTCTTGGTAAAGAAAGGTGTAATGATTATCTTGCTTGCTGGAATTTATCATCGCTTTACACTTGATTCGAACAATTATTTAAAGGTATTTTCATGACATATTGATAATGATTTTACTTGATCATACAGGCACACACAAAGTAGTAGTCCCTTTTTGCCCTTGACCCTATAAAGCTTAACCTTTATGGAAGAGAAAAAAATAAAGAATTTTTATAGTAGTTTCTTATTATTTTTGGATAGTCCCAAAATTGCATGAATGATTCAGTCCCAAAATTATAGGATTAAAGCTTCTTGATTTCTATGCCAATACACCATAATTGAATACTTGCTAGCTATCATAAAACTTTGTGAATCAACTGCATTCATGCTTTTTGCTTTTAAGTCATTGTTGTTGGACTTCTTTACATATCATCCCCACTAGCAAGTTATGAACTAAACTCCATTTGTAAAAGGCTGCCCATGTTTAAAAATGATTATTGTCATTAAGAAAAACATAAATTTGTTTCTGATGAAGAATTTAATTTTGTATGCAATGTGGCTTTTTATTAGTGATCCTATTTGGACTCTTTTCAACCGTCTTCATGATCACCTACCTACAAGGTTGGACTTGACCTTTCTTCTTTTTCATTTTTGGATAATTCAAGGTTTTGGAGCCTTCCTTTAATCTAAATAAATTAGTTTTATATTTTCAAAAAAGAGTATTTTGAGAACTTTTGTAGAAGGAAGCTGCCAATCATGCTATTAATGCTGCTACAGCTGGAAATATGCTTTTTGCTTTTAAAAACTTGGAACTATTCTATGGCATCTTATAAAAAAAGTGAAAAATGAAAAATAGACAAAACTGTTGTGGCTCTATTAAACATAGCTTTACCTATGGCCTAGAATGCTTGTATGACTTGCTATTATAGAATAAGTTTGTGGAATGCAAGTTATAAACTTAATAGTTCTATATATGAAAAACATATTATGTAAATCTGGTTACACGAGTTTGTAGAGGCACATGCTTGTATCATTGCTTATGAAAGGCATATTATGTAAATTTGGTTACATTGTCTAGATTTTTTAAAGAGTTTTGTTAGGTGTTTGTACTTGTAAGAAATGATGTACGATGTTTATAATAAAAAAATTATTTGCAACAACAAAAAATTTGTTGCTAAAAGGTTATTATTGTACTATTTATAAAATGTCATTGAAAACTATTTGAGACGGTAAGAAAATGGTCTCCAAAAAAGATGTTAGTATTATTATTATTTTTTTTTTACGACGGCAAAATAGTGGCCGCCATAAGTAGTTTAGGACCGCCGCTTCGACGTTGCAAAAAGTATTTGCCACACCCACATTCGCATCCCCTATTTGTGATCGTATGGGTCGTCACAAAAGGACTTTTGTGACTGTATTTTTATTATTTGCGACGGCTTACAGCGGTCGCAAAATGTACTTTTTCTAGTAGTGTTTTCTGCCATTGGAGGTAGATTCATAATCAAATGACTGGTTGGAGGTGGAAGAGTAGTTGATGCCCTGGAAGGTTGCTATAACCTGAAAATGGTATTGGCCTAGGTGGCAACTATGTGGTTGAGAGCATCTGTAACCCACTAAAAGGTAGTGAGCGTATTTAACAAATCTATTGGATTCTACACCATCACAAAAGTTAGTTAGTTAGCAATTAGGGAGCTGAATGGGGGTAATCTGAGAGGTGATTGATATAGATCTTGAGCGGGCTATACTTGTTTGACCCGTCTTCTTCTAACTACTGATAGGAGAGGGATGTCAGAACTTTTTGAAACTATGATGAAACAACTACCAGCAAAAGAAAAGAAAACAAAGAACTACACAATCAGACACAAAAATCGACAACACTTTGGCTCAACACTCAGGTTCAAGACTTAACAACTGTACAACTGGCTATTGTAAAACCCACTGCACGCCTCACTAATAAACTAAACTTTGCCTCATAAACTGATTATGCCTGAACCACTTATTTGAATTTGAGAACCCCTATATAGACTTAACACATAGCACATAAAAGGTAAAGTGAACAATCACCCTTATAGAGGGTTAGGGTTACTCTATTCTAGAATTGGAATGATCTAGAGCTTCACTATTCAAACAGGTGGTATCATCACATCTTTGACACAAACGAGTATCATGTCCTAGTTGGAAAGTTGCTATAGTTTGGTATATGTACTAGGCCAGTTTCGTTAAAAAGGTACCCCAACAAGACACATAAATACCTAGCCTTCCTAACACTTACAAGTGAAGAGAGGATCAAGCGGTATGTTGGTGATCTCGATCTGAGGCTTGTATTCTCATTATGACAGAGCCTATGTCTGGCAAGCCATCTCGGATGTCAAATGGCAAATACAGTGACTTAAGTGCACCATGCATGCAAATGCTGTAATGATATAGAATTTTCCCTCCGCTTGAGCGGGGGAGTCGATGCTCGAGCAGACTTGAGAGGCTCCCAGCATTTTTACAGTCTGTCCAAAATTCTGAGAGTTGTGAATGCCCGCTCGAGCGTAGAAGTGGTCGCTCAAGTGGACGGTTTTGTTGGTCTACGCGCTCGAGCGTGGAAAGCGACGCTCGAGCGTGGAAAGCGACGCTCGAGCGTGGAAAGTGACGCTCGAGCGTGGAAAGTAAGATTGCCCTTGACATTTTTATAATTGTATTTGGAACCTTCTGATTTTATTTTGGGGTATTGATTGAAGTGGTAACATGATGGCAAAGTAAGAGTGAACCAAGAATTTAATTCGGATAATTTTTCCTACGAACAGCCGTCACTCTTTTGCCCTTTCATTTTTCCGCACTTTGAATTTGGGTGTGAGACTAGAACCATTGGAAAGCTTATTTCTAGGGCTTCTATTTAGACACAAGAACGACCTCGAACGGAGTCCGGATGGGAGAGTTATGCCCGTTTGAAGTTTTGGAATATGTGTTGGAAGCATGTCCGCTCGAGCGGGAAAAAACGCTCGAGCAGACAGCGCGAATTCAGCAACTTAAAAGTGATTTTCTAGATCATTCTTCACATTTTCATCTGCCCTCTTCCTTCCTCTCATCCTAGGTCCGAAAAGCTAGCCCTCAAACCTTTGATTTCATCCATTTTTACCAACAATCCACCATGGATCTTGCATCAAAGATGAAGAATAAGTGTAGATCAACATTTTCAACCAATTAGATTTTGGATTTTCGAAAGGACGCTTTTAGATCTAGCTTCTTTGCTTCCAATCTTGAGGTAGGGAGTTCTCTTAGCCTTAAATATTTATGATTCAAAGTGATTTTGGTGACATTTTGGGATTTTGAGTTGATTATGGTTAGAAACATTAATGGCTTGTTGCTTATTCACAAATGGGGTTTTCACTCAAATTTTGAAAGGGTGTTGAATGTTTTTGGCATATTGATAAATAGTAATTGATGATTTGAGGATTTAACTAAGAAAAGAGGAAAACCCCTAATTTTCTTTAAAACCCTAGGTTTGAAATGTTGAGTAAAAAGGGGATTTTGAACTAATTGATGATTTTATGTTAAAATTGGTATTAATATGGTATTGGGATATATGGAAACTATGAAATGCGTAAATCCTAATAATTTGATAAAACTAGTGTGGGGGTAGAAGTTGTGGATTAAATTATTTTGGAACCTTAGCTTGGAAGTTTATTGGGAATGAGATAACTTACTTAAGAAATGTTTCTAAGTGGAACTTGAGTTGTTTTGAGTTGATATTCACATGATGTTGGAATAATGGAGAATTTTTAATTGTTGTTGCTATATGAGATAATTATGGAAATTGTTGAGATTGCCTTTTTTATGTTTCATGATAGTTATTTTTGTAGTAATGATTTGAACCTTAGGCAAACTATAATTTTGGCAAACCCATTTGCATTGCATCATATCTTCATGGCTTTGTGGGTCAAGTGTGTTGAGTTAAATAAAATGGGTTATTTTGAAATGTGTTTTGTGTGCAGAGGTGCCCAATTGCCCTTCCATGCTTGTAGGCCGGAAAATGTGAGGATGTTATCAGTATGTTGGTAAAGGTGCCCAATTGCCCTTCCGTGCTTGTCGGCCGGTAAATGTGCAGAAAAAGTTACAATGATTGATGGGTGTCTAATTGCTCCTCCGTGCTCGGTGGCCGAAAAATGTGGCGATGTTTTAAGAATGAAATGGGTGTCTAATTGTCCCTCCATGCTTGGTGGCCGGTAAATGTGGAGGTTTTCTAAAAGTAAGAGGTGCCCGCTTGCCCTACTGTGCTTGGTGGCAAGTAAATGTGGGGAGTGTTTCTGACATGTAATGTGGAAATTAATTATAAAATGAAGGTTCATGGTTAACTCATTGGTTAATAAATTGGATCAAAACCTGGAATACAAATTTAGCATGTTACAAATTGGTTTTCTAAAAAAAAAAAAAAAAAAACAAGTTGTATGCATGGCATGACATTGCATGAACATAATCACTTTGAGCATGCTTATTTGTTGTTAAGTTTACTTCCTACTGAGCGTCAAAGCTCACTCCCTTTTTATGGGCTGGATATCCTAAAAATTCAAGTGTCGAAGTTGTACCATGATTGTGTCGAAAAGCGAATTGAATTGAAGGTGGAGTGCCAAAGCTTCTTTGATGGTGTTCGCCTTCTGCCATTGTACTAGTTTGTCGAGTTAGGAATTTAATTTGTTTGAATCAAGACTCTTAGTCTTGAAAAGTATAAGCCCTTGTGGCAATTAAGATGGATATTTTTACATTACCATGTATTGTAATTTTATTACTTTGAGCTTGACAAGAAATTTATGAGAATGTGATAGATCCCAATTATTGAATTGTATACCTTTGCTTATTGTTCATATGTTAGGTTGGTAGCATATCGTGGTGTAAATATCGGGGTGTTACAACTTGGTATCAGAGCGAACCAGGTTTGAATACCTTGGGCTAGTGGGAAATGACGTTTGTCACAATAGGTTACTAGGTTCTAATGGGACGTTTTACTGTTTACTCTGATTGGTGTGTGTCAACGTGACTCTGTGGGTATGGGATTACACTCTTAGGATGAAGTTTGTGCTCATGAATTTCTTAGAAGTCTTGTTAGGAGGCACCTGATCAATGCGATTCTAACTTGAGTTCTTTGAACGTTTGTGGGACAAATTGGCATCTTTGGAGGATAATCGGTATGTGCTTTATGTGACTAGGTGTTTATGTGGTATGTTATTGTGAAAATCATTATGTGCATAGACAGTTGTAGACATTTTGGGTAGAGTGTGGAGTTTTGTTTGGCTTAATTTGTGAGTTAGATTTATTATTATTCTTATGTAGGATGTCTGGACGTAATGGTGGAAGCCGTGGTAGACCTCGTCATGGTGGTCGGGGTGTCTCTTCTTGAGGAGATGGTGTAGGCCAAGCTAGTATGGCCGAACAAGAGGTGCAAGGTGTTATGGGTTTGTTGGCTAGGGAGTTGGCAAGTGCACTTCGGGAATCTATGAATATTTTGAGGGCTGAAGAAGCGACATGAGCCGCCGTAGGAGAGACTAGATTCTGTTCCTTGGCTAAGGAGTTCTTTAAATCTAACCCTATGGAGTTTTATGGCGGTGCTAATTGACTTCTAGCAGATGAGTGGCTTGAACAAACAGTGAAGACATTTGAGGTGTTTCACATAGTGGATGATGAACTTCGGGTTACGTTAGGGGCTTTTCAATCGAAAGGGGACACTGGTCAATGGCGAAAATATACCAAAGACCGTATAGTGCACACATGGGAGGCCTTCACTCATGTTTTCCAGGAGAAGTACCTTCTACCCACAGCTAGAAAGCGTTTCATAAAATAGTTTGAAGAGCTCGAACAACATGACACAATAGTAGCGGAGTTTGAGGCAGCTTTTACTAGCTTGTCTAGGTTTGTACCGGAGTTAGTGGCGATTGAGGAGCGCCGTTGTTTGGAATTTGAAAAGAAACTTAGGTGGGAAATTAAAATGAAAGTGGTTGGTAGTATGATTTAAAATTATGATAGACTCGTGGAAGCAACTGCACATGTGGAAATCATGTTGGAAGGGGGAGAGAAACAAAAGGGTAAGAGACAAGGGGAAAACGAGTCACTAGGTGACTCGAGAATATCTAAGAAGTCAAAAGGTAGTACTAGAATGCTTTTGCAATCGCAGCAGACCGAGCCTCAGAATTTGGCAACAGGGACGAGCATAGGAAGTACCATTCGGAATAAGTTGACTTGTTTTTGATGTGGCCAACAGGGTCATAAGGCTTCAGTTTGCCCTCAAAGGGAAGGAAGCCGACTACAACAGCGACTGGCTCATCCTCAGAGCCAGTCTTTGGGTAGTGGTCGAGTGTCCACCTGTTATCAATGCGGACAACCAGGGCATGTGAAGAGACTTTGCCCTCAGTTGGTAGGAGTCCCTAAGCAATCACATGACCTTCCATCGGATCCAAACCAAAAACAACTCCAATAGTCAGTCCATTTATAAGATAGGAGACTACCTATTTGTTTTAAGTGTAATCAATCGGGCCATGTTAAGCACTATTGTCCCGAGAGAGAACAAAACCAGTTCGTTGATTCTAGTAAGGACTGTAATGTTGGGAGGGAGTAGTGTGATCTATTGTTGTTTTGGTATGATAATACTATGATGAAGTAGACAAGGAAGTGTATTTTCAAATATTGTATATGTATATATATGTATGTGTGTTGTCGAAATCCAACTATCTGGTAATGTAATTATACCTCGGAACCTGTTTATGTTGGGAAGTACTATAAGAAATTGTAATCTTAGGATTTTGTTATGTAACTGTTTTTATTCCCTGAATGAAGTATGTATTGGTTTATGAGTCTTAAATTGAATTAAGTGTTTGTAGAGAAAGGATTGGTCATGGGACTATCCTAGGAGGTTGCCTTGGTGTGGCAATAATATGCTTAATGTATTTGTTGAAGGGTATAATGTTTGATAGAGTTGAGTTACTTTTGCGCGTGTGTTCGTTGTTTGTTAGTGGAACTACGAGTGATATAATAGAGTTATGTGAAGCTGGTGTTATTGAACCTATCAGTCCTTGTGGGTGTAGTGTAAGGTGTCTGGTTGCCACAGGTATATGTATGTATTAAATTAAAGAGGGTGAGTTGTGTGTTTTGGCCATAAGGAGTTCATCTCAGATGCATGTATGATCCCTTTCCAGAGGTTTTGAGATTTGATATACAAGATATATATATCTCTCTCTCTATATTTGTGTGAGTTAGCGCCTTAAAGTGTGTTTTGTCTTCACCTTTGCACTACAAAACCTAGCAATACACCACCATCTATGAGATGAGACTCTTGGGAGTGTTATTTGAGCTCTGAAAGTTGTTTTTTTGCCTCAAAAGTTGCTGGTTTCAAAGTTGTGCTTCAAGGGTGAGTGTATTCCCCTTTTAAGCTTTTGTTTGTATACCATATTGGCCATCCTTGAATATTGTTTTAGGCCTTGCTTTTAACTGATAAAAGTCTTTTTTTGAAGTGCTTAACATGTTTGTTTGAGGTCTCTTTGGTGTTGGGGGTGGTCTATCCCCTTTAGAGCCTTGTTTGGCCTTGTTTTGAATCATCTCTTTAGGCCTTTGTTTTCACCTTTATTTGGCCTTTCTACCACTGAATTCTAGAAGAATTTTAGTGGTGGAAAGTGTGTTTTGAGGCCTTAAATAGGAGGGGGTTGTCCCCCCTCCTCTTCTCATAAATGTTTGTGTTGATGGCTCACCAAATTGGCATGTTTTTCTACCTCTTTGTGGCTCCATTTCAGTATGTCTTAGGCCTTGTTTTGCCATGATATAACACTATTTTGGATTGGTTTGATCATATCATGCATCCTCCTTGCATTTGTAGTGCAAATCTATTCACTAGCCTAACATGCATCATGTGTTTAGACCATCATTCTAGCATGTTTTGGCTTAACTCCAAGAAGCTTTTGTCCATGTTTTAGCATGCTTAAGCTCTGATTTATGTTGTTTTGGTCATGCATGCCATGCTTTGTATAGCCATAATGCATTCTTGCTCATTAGTTTTGAGTTTCATGGTCTCTAGCATGGCTTACTTGAGTTGTTTGCATGCTTTGGTCTCATTTTTACCATGATTTCAGTATGTATAGTATGGCCATACTCTCTCATGCTCCACTATTTCTATGCTTTTGGTGAGTCTTGCTTGATGCCTTATGTATGAGTCTATGTGCATGCCTTACTGCCTAAACTTTTGGGCAGCCATATCAGTGCATTTTTGGGGTTATTTTGACATGCCATAACTCTGATTTTAGTGAGTGAAGTCATCTTATGCTTGGTTTTGGTAGGTGTAGTGTAATCCTCTTTCTTGGCCTTGTATGCGTCATGTTTTGTGCTCACCATGCTAGCTTGTTTTGGCTTCATTCCATGCATGTTTCGGCCTTATTTTAACCTGCCTTGGGACTGTTTTGAGTCACCTTCCCCCTTTGGGGCTTGCTTGATATGGCCATGGTGTAAGTCTCTTGGCTAGCTTTAAGCTTTGAGCCCACTAGCATGCTTTGTTTGTCATTTGTGCATGATTTAGCCTCATTTGGAATGTAATTTCAGAGTTTACTTCATTGCCACATCCCCATATTTGTCACTTCTTCATCATGTTTGAGAGTTGTGTTCTTATGCCTAGTTGAGGAGCCATCACACGAGCATGTGTCCTTGGCCCCTTTTGTGGCTAAGTTTTGGTATGTTGGCCACTATTTTTGGACCCTCTCAGGTCTGTCCATATGCAGTATAAGTCCACTAATTGTTGCATTACATGGCTCTTGCCATTGCATTGTCATTTGCATGTTGTTGGATGAAATTGTTGTTTGCATGTTGTTGCATGCTCATGGCGTTTGCATGTTGCACGTTTATGATGTTCAGCATGTTGATTAGATAGCATGTTGTTGCATATTGTTGAATGCTTGTTGCATTGCATGACTTTTGCATGCTTGTCGCATTGCATTGTGTGTGCATGCCTTACATTGCATTGTGTTTGGAATCGGATGTTGATCCAAACACGGGGAACGAGGGGCGTTTCAAACTTAAAGTGATGAAACGCAGCTCATTCCTTAGGCCGCTGTCACCTTTGATCATGCATGATGAGGTGGAGATTCATTGAGTCCTATGCGATATTTGTGTGCATTCATTGTCATTCATTTGTGCAACTCGGCCTCTTTGGCCATCATGCATTGAGATGCGTGATTGATAGCTCGAGAGCCGAACACTACACTCCTTTGAGCCTTAGACATGATAAGGAGCGTGGTTGCACACACATTTTCTTTTAAATACACTGCAATGCCTCTGTTAGTGCTCTGTTGCAGCAAAAGGAGAATTTATAGGAAGCAGTAGCTGATCGGCCATCAGAGTTGCCGACCGGCCATCAAAGTCTGTCGATCGACCATCAAAATGGCCGATGATCATTTTGTTTAGCCGATGGCCATTCCCCTTGGTTGACTGCCCCTCAGATTGTTCCTAAGGTGGATCAAAAGTATTTTGGAGGTTGGCATGATTTTCAGAAGTCTAAAACAGTGCAAACAGAGGCATCACAAGGCACGGTGGTGGATTTCCGGGAGGACGCGACTGAGCATGCATCATTCATCATTCCAAGGCAGAGCTGTAGCAGCCTACTTTAGTTTCTTACTTAGCTGGTTTTGTAAATTAATTAATTTGTTTAATTAGGTAAGAGCTTTGTAATAATTAATTAGCTAGGATAGTTAGTTAATTAGTTGGTTTGTATTATTCATTCCGACCCTCCTCCGAGAGGGCGATGTTGTAAATAAGTGTGTGTGTGTGTGATGCATGTCTTTCAATCCCATTTCTTTCTCCCTTTTACTTATCCACTTTCAGTGGTTAGTTTTAGGACATATTTCAATTAGCATCCTTGTGCTATGCATGCGTGCATCATTCATTTGTCTTGCATGCACCGGGCTCGGCACATCATACTAACTGCATTGTATTTCAATACCAATTTGAATACATGTATCAATTGTTGCATTCCCATGACATCTTAGAATAGCCGAGCCTATCTTAGTTGCATTTTTCATGTGTTGCATTAGGCACTCTTAACATAGTTAGGAGCATGCGTTGCTTTCTAACATAGCTTCTGTTTTGGCTCGGAGTACTCAGCGAGTGTTTATTCTTTAGCATCCTTGCATGTGTGTAAGTGTTGCCATGATAGCATGCTTGCCATGAGGCTAATTGCTTAAGTGATTAACTGCCTGAATGCTTGTGGGTGGAGGCTTGATTGCCTGGATTGGAATAACTCGATGATTGTGAGTTCTTTTTTTAAGTCCAATTGAAGTGGCAAAATCATGTTTTTCTAAGCCCACGTGAGGGTGGCAAAATCGCATCTTAGCCTACTTGCGAGTAGCATCCTCAAACCATTTTCGAAAAACAAACATGAGTTGTTTGGTTCCAATCCGCGTGTTTGAGTCTATACTTGTTTACTGTGCGCATCACATAGTAATGTTAGCTAATAATCAGAATAAGAACGTATGTGTTTTCAAAAACAATCATCTTAGTAAAGGCCGATCGTTTGATCGGGCGAGCGGGGGTGCTCATTTCATGACCTTCCCCCCTTGTACCCAAGTTCCCGAGCCGAGGCAACTTTGGTGATGACGGACACGTGGCCTTAGGCACAAGTCATTCCAAAATTTCCCAAAAACAAAACATTTAGGTGGCGACTCTGTATCTGGAAAAGCAGACCATGTTTGACACTTTTTTATTAAAATCGATTTTCCAAAACTATTTGTCGGATTTGGACTCTTTGGTGATTTATCAGTCTTGCATTGCACTTTGCGAGATTAGATTCAGAACCGTGACATGAGTCCGAACTGTAGTAGCTAAGAACAAAAAGATTCGCACCCTCACGCGCAGAGAGGGGAGTTTCGGGCTGTCTACAGTTTCTGGCGACTCTGCTGGGGATTTAGAGAACTTGACTCGAACTCATGATTTCTCGTTTTGTTTACGCTTATGTGTCTCTTTGCATTGGATTTGCATTGGTGCGCCTAGGACACCGTGTTTGCCATCTACTATTCCTGAGCTATTTGCCAGAGGTTGCATGCCATAAGGCAGATCAGTTACAGGGTCTGCCACGATGGGAACACAAACCTCGATTTTCACCGAGGCACCCTTTTTGACCATTCGACCTAGTGCATATCGGAATCCATAGTGACCATTCCAAACAAGGGCAGGTTGCTTACCCGATTATAGGTTGTTTGAAACCGCTGTGTGCGTAGTGAAACCCTAGCTCCAGACAATAGGAGAGGGAAACCCTACCCCTCCATAGGGGTGTTTTGGCTCTCACTTGCTTTCTATGTGCTTTTAGAGTGTGTTTCTACAGGAATGCACGAATCAGTTTGCAAGTTTGGGTATCAGGCCTGCG